TTATCAAAAGACCAGCACATTTTTTTTGAGGTAAAGAATGATATCCTGTAAGCAATAATATTCCAATAAATCTTCTCAAATAGGCTTCAGATGCAATAAATTCCGGGCGCTTTTTTTTTTTTTTTTTTTTCGCTGAGCGTATATATTTGTCTGTTCAACGAGAAGAGAGTAAATGTCTGAACCAAAACGAAAATCGAAAATCTGTGCACTAGTTTTACCTCGTATTTTGTCTTTGATAATTTCTCTTCTACCTCTTTCTTCATGTTCTTCCTGAGACATAACTAACAGTTCCTTTTTTTAACCACTTCACGATTTCAGTGTTCTGCTTTTTAAACTTTTTAGTATGACTATAACTGCTTTTAGAAGGCTGAAACTTACTTCTTACGTGAATTTCAACTTCCCCGGCAGTATCATTTGGTAAAATATCATTATCATTATTTAAAACATTGCCATTCCTTTCTTCTTTGTCACTAGATTCTGCAATTTCTGGGGGAACAACAACAATATCAGTTTCATTCTGGTCATTATTAACATTATCATCATCTGTTTTTTCATTAAAAAATATTTGAAGGGCTTCTTCTAATGTAAGATACTTCGTTCTAGGCATTTTTTAAACAACCAGAACATGAACCAGAACATCGAAAGGAATGAGTGAAAGAGGAGATTGACAACCCGTTTCCAGCTGACGTTGAGTCAGCGCAACACCTGTTTTTCCTTCCTTCCCAACACAAATATAAACATCTGACTGATGTAATGTTCTGACAGGACTTAGAACTATTTATCCCTGATGTTCTGATAAACGGTGACCTTGACTAAAAATACATCACTTATAAAGACGGCGATTCTTTCGTTAAATATTTTCAGCAAAAATACCCGGTCGAAAATGTTGCTTAAATTTTGCTTAAAGTATGAGATTAATTATTATAAACAAAATGATTGTTGAAGGCAAATATTTTTTTACAGAAATAATCTTCATAATATTCACTACACAAAATCATCTGCTGGTATAAAATATCTTAGGTAGTTATATTTATATACGCATTTATTTTGACCGTTGCGTCAACGCAACACCAGCGGCTAACGGGTTAATGAATCATTGTATGTCGACGATTTTTATTTGTGGGCAAATCACAGTTGAACAGGCTCTAAAGACTTGTAAAGAGAGTGTATACATTCTAAAAGAGGCAAGCATGGACCTTCTAAAGTGAATAACCAATTCTCCTGAACTAAGTAAAGAATTAAAGAATTTAAACTTCAATGTAGATCAGAGTGAAGAGTCTCTAGACACAAAGATGATAGCTTCAAAAGTATCGGGAATTGGTTGGGATGAGCAAACTGACACGTTTTATTTCGATACCAGAAATCTGGAAACATTTCTTTTAAAAAGGTTTGATGCAGGGTTGTCGTAAACTAACACAAAAAGACGCTTACTACAAGCGGTAGGTCGAATTTTCGATCCAATAGGTTTTATAGAACCATATACTATTAAAGCTAAGTACTTGATACAAGAAATTTGGTCTTTAGGATTAGACTGGGATGAAAAATTGCCCAAATAGTTAGAAATTGCTTGGAATAAATGGTGCGATGAGATCCAAGATGTAAAGGAATAATTATTCCCGATATTATTTTAAAATTTCTTTGCCCAGTCATGCAATCACAATTCAATTACACTGTTTTTCAGATGCATCTAAGAAAGCTTATGGTACTGCTGCGTACTTACGCATAGAATTAAAGGGTGGAAATATCATTTCTAGGTTTGTAGCATCAAAGGGCAGGGTAGCTCCATTAAAAACCCTTTCGGTTCCTAGATTAGAGCTGATGGTTGTACTTTTGTCTTGAAGATTGAGCAATAAAATTGTAACTAAGTTTTCCAGTTACGCGATATTTTTGGACAGATTCCTCAATAGCTTATTACTGGATCAAAGGTGATCCAAATAGACTTAAGGTGTTCGTGAAGAATAGAATAAAAGAAGTACAAAAATACAGCAACCGAAAGGAATGGCATCATTGTATAGGAAAGAATAATTCCGCCGATTTGATTTCTAGCGGTTTATCTTTAAGCGAGCTCAAGACTAATCACCTCTGGTGGCATGGACGCTGTTGGTTGACAATGAATAATACACCATGGCAACTCGAATTTCAACTTGGCGCCGTTCCGCAGATATTCGGGAAAAAAGAATTAGGCACGTAGCCAAATCCCTGTAATAGGAAAAACCCAAGAAAGAAAGTGGAAAATGTAGGGAAAACGTATTGGAAAATTAGTTTTTAATAAATATCCCGGCTAATTAAAGTTCCAAGAAGACGCGAATGGTCAAAATGGCGTGCCACGGACCTGCGGAATCCGACGGTATGCTTCGCTAAGCTCGGGAGCCAGCCGTTTCGGTAGAGATGACGTTACTTCACCCCATATATATATGCGACTTAAGTGTCTGTTTGTCGCCGATAGTTTATTGGTTGCTTGCGTAACTGTACTAGCCAATGGGGTGAAGTTGCCACGGCGCAGTGTTGTCGTTTCAATTGAGACGAAGACAATTTCCTGTAAAACTTGACTTTGCTATAAGTCTCAGGACCAAACGCTTAAGCGTGTTGGCATTTTTTTACCTGAGCCTGCATTTGGACATGGTCAACTTTATGTTGCCTGTTCAAGAGTTTGTGAAAGAACGGACGTAAAATTAAATAAAATTGATGGTCCTCTGCAAGGCGACCTTAAAAATGATGGAAAGATCTACACAAGAAATGTTGTGCACAAAGAGATCTTTGACATGTGAATACAGCGTGGCCACCCTCCTTAGAATCGATGGAAGTAGCCAAAAAAGATGTCGATAAGTTAGAGTTTAAGAAATCAGTTTTTGTAAATGCAACTCTTGAAAATAGCCAAACTGAAAACTATTTGATCACAAGATACTCCTCATGCAGTAAAGTAATTAGGATAACTGCTTTATGTTTGAGATTTATAAATAACTGTAAAGTGAACCCAGAGTTAGAAACAGACTTTATATGTGCTTCTGAATTAAGACATGCTACTGAAGTTTTAGTAAAACTCGTACAGTCAACTGAATTTCGAAGGAAAATAAAGTGCTTAAAAAACGGACAATCTATTTAAAAAAATAGTAAAATATAATCTTTGAACGTATTTCTTGACAAAAATGAGGTACTGAGAGTAGGAGGAAGACTGGAGTATTCTAAGGTTTCAAGGGTTGCAAAATGAGCTATCATGAATTTTGAAGAGAATACTTTAGTTACTCAGATAGAAGCAGTTCTGAATTTCCCGCCTATTATCACCGCTTTCTTCCGATCCGAATGACTTACATCCTTTAACTCTGGGACATTTTTTGACAGGAAATGCTATGTTATCCTTTCCTGAACCACATATTGCTTCGAATTCTCTTTCTTTTCATTAAGGAACTAGTTCAGAGACTCATTAAGGAACATTTCATTAAGGAACTAGTTCAGAGAAAGTTAAATTTTGGAACCGATGGCATTCCGAGTATCTAAATCAACTACAGAATCGTGCCAAATGGAGCATTTCGCAGCCGAACATACAGATTGGTCAACTGGTACTGCTAAAGAACTCCAATCCTTTGCATTGGCCATTGGGTCGCATCGAACAAGTGTATCCTGATACTGATGGTCTGGTCAGAGTAGTTGAAGTTAAGACGTCTACAAGTGTTCTTCGTCGAGCCATCAACAAAGTCATTCCCCTACCATTTAAAGACTGAATGATATGAACTTGAAAAACTTTTTTTTTAAATATTTAATAATTTACCAATTTAATATTTAGTATAATTTTATTGACTTTAAATTTATATCAATATCTGAAAACTGAAATATAAACTCCATGGGAGTAAGCGGGGAGAATGGTAAGACCCGCGTAACGCTAGAGGGCGCTAAGAGCGCCATTGAGTGAATTCAGTAAGTTGATGGAAGGTGTGACGCAGTGATGATGTGAGATTTCTGAGATTGTGATATCATCATATTTAATTAAATCAATTTATATTTTATTGATTACTGACTTATTATTATGTTTACTGAACCACCACACATTAGAAAGTTGGATTACCACTGAATCTTCAAACCACTGATGCGCAACACGAATGTATAAAATGTCGCTTAAAAAAATAAAAACAAAACTTTCCTACTCATTGTGTAGAAACTCGTTCATAAAATTCTGCGTTTTCCTTTAAAAAGCTAAGCAGTTAGAAATATACATTTGGAATTAATATTTGTGGAAACAAAATCTATCGCTTTTTTTCACAAATTCACTATGTAATATGAATTAGAGGATAAGAATTTTTTGTTACTTATATGTGAACCACGTTTAGGACGACTGTGTACAGTTCCAGACCTTTTTTTTTTTACTTTATAGAGGTGCTTGCCTTAAATAATTTTCAATATTATAATATTAGTTATATTTTCAGCTATGTAGGTCACTTTTAGGACTGATCATCTTAAAGAGGGGATTTATCATAAGTGGATTTAAATCAATTTTGTTAGAAAAGACCATTTAAATTCAGTTCACTCTTTTTTTTTTTTTTGGCATTCAGAAACTGATAATTTACGCTGTTAATGTGCGCTGGGTTAGTTTGAGTAGTGAAACTCAGAAAAAATTTTATTTTTAAATTATAGATTTGGGAGGACTGAGAAGAAGGCTGAAATAAATTACTTCATTTCTATTAAGATTTTCAGCTTTATTTTTACCGATCAGATTCATAAGTATCCGATAATTTTGTTGTATATTTTCACATCGATATGGGAAATACTGAGGAAAATTAAAAATACGAAACTAAAAAGAGTCTTATTTTTAAAAATCAACTCTTTTTTAAATTACCGTAAAAGTTCTACAAATTTTTATGTCATATTAACGTGTCAATCAAGCATTAATTTTGTATTTCATCAGGAGTTTAGAGCAGATATTAAACTGAACCTTTGAAAAACTACCAGGTTTTCTAAACTTCTGCTCTAAATCCCTACGGTTAAGTTTTTATTGATTTACAGCACGGTACAAAAAAATTTAATGCTTTATTCTGCTATAAAATATCTTTGACATGCAGATTCTACACATAAAAAATAATTATTGCTTGTTTTAGTTATTTCGACGTTCAGAACTCTGTACTGCAATTTTGAATTCTTTTATGTTAAGCTTAAAGAATGCTTTTTGCAAACTAAAAATTACGTGTCCTAAAATCATGACCTACCATATCTACCTACGAAATACAAAGCTGTTCAATATTTAACAGTTCTTCTGCAGATCATACGCGTAAATCATACTTAAAATTATTTCCTTTTAAATATAATTATGCTGCTGTTCCTTAGTTTAAACTATTTTTATTTAGAATGATTTCATAATGAAATAGATTATTAAAACTGGAAATAATACATAATAATATTATCTTCCTAAACCTTTTTAAAACTAAGAATAATTTTCAGTTTTCAACTTTGATCACAGCCGCATAAATAATTCCTTGCCTCTCAAATTTGCTTTGTCAGTCTTTCTAAAAGGTTACCATAATTACACAGGTTCTTATGCAAACCTGTATAATTTGCTCTACGTTTCATTTTTGCACATCTATAGTTCTTCTGCAACTAATATCTGAACTGACAGTTCTTGGTTGTAGTATCACGCGTGATTTCCAATCTTCAGTTAACGTCATTACTTTCAGCTTGATGAAAAGCTGGCGTTTCAGATATGCTAGCTCCATCTGATGTTTTACTAGAATCGCATCTAAGTATTAATTTCGTACTTGGACATGCATCATTATTATTTATATTATCTGCATTTTCTTCATCTTGCTTATGTGTTAGAGTCATTGGTATCGAAATTGAATTAGAAGAATCTTCGACTGTAATCCATTTTTTCTTTGTACCTCTTTCCAGAAATTTGCCATTTTCGAATTTATAAATGCAAATTTGTTTTTTTCCGTGATGTAAATACATACCAAGTCTACTTGCCTCGTCCGTTTTGTATATTATGCTCGCTCTCCATACTCTCAGGTAGATTTCTTCAGCTATCGCTCGAACTTCTTCCTTTTTAGAATAGTCAGGAGTGTAAAACATAATTACACCATTAGAAATATTTATATCGTCTCTTTCGTATGCTGTAGAACATTTTGCTTTAATTATAGGTAGTTCAGTTTTTTAACAAGTTTAACAGCTTTCTGCCATGCTCTGTCTAACTTCGTCATTCCGTCAGCATCCTTTTTCTTGATATTGCGATACATCAACCACTTTCCTTTTTTTCCATCATCAACATCGATTTTTCTTTTGTTGTAGCAGTAAATGTAGGGTTTATCAGTTATCCGTGACGGCAAGGTTTCATCTGTAGAAGAAATAGCGATTGACAACGCACCATTGTTTAGCTTTGCGCAATCATCTTTATGAAGAAACTTTGTGCCATCCGCAGATGCTTCATCCAATGTATGTGGTACTTCGTTCAGCACCTTCCTTGATGCTTCAGAAACACATGCTGATGATGAAAATGACGTTGAATTGCCGTTTGTGCTTGCAAGTTCAGTCTCGTCTACTTCTGCACAAGGCGTGTTTTCAATAGAGTGAGCGAACGCTTCACTTTCAGCCGTTTGTTTTGATTCATTGTCCTTTAACGCTTCTTCAAAACAATGAATACTTTCTGATTCCGATTTTGACTCCTCAGCCATTTCCACTATCCACTTTATGTTGTAAGGATTTTTATCTCTGGAAAACCATGTATATCTGAACTTTATGTTAATTCAGAATTTTAAAAGCATATATGCCAGCTCTTCAGATAAATGAGAAAATGTGATAACAGTTACTGTATCTTGTTTTCTTAAGCACTGTGTTTCCAGATGATGTGTACTGCAAATTCTAAAAAGAAAAAAATAATAAATAGGTATAATATTTACGCATTAATATGCTATGTTTTAGTTCGAAACACTAGTTTGAAGAATTTATACTTCAGGTGTGTGCTCAGGGAAAAACTTCCTGAAACAAACCTTTTAATAGTTAAATAGAAAGGGAAGTTTTGGGATACAGATGTCAATACAGTATTCGATATATTTAAATGCATATAACTAAATTGTATAAATAAATATTGAAATTAAGCGTTCCGTTTCGCCGGAAGGAAAAAAAAAACATTGGTAAAGGAAAAAAAATTAAATCTCCAGAAGAGCTAGATTAGTGGTTCTCAACTCTTTTGCCACATGCACCGTTTTCATCATAGAAGATCATTTTCCTTTCCTTCCAAAAACGCAAATGCATATTCATTTATTTGAATTTAGATTATTTTTTAATGTGTTTCACAAACTAAGCAAGAAAATGTACAGAAAATATTGATGGATACTAAAACTTGAATAAAAGTCGTTTTTACTTCCTTGTAAGAAGTAAAGGAAGTATTGTAATCACGAAAAATTCTGGGTACCATATTTCAACAAAAATATACATTTTGACCGCTATCGAATGCAATCTGAAGATGCTTTTGAGTGACATCTGTACGTAAGGACAGAATAAAGAACTCTTTTCCCCCAAACGAATTATAAAACTGATTTAAAATTGATTCAGATGAGATTTTTTCGTGGCGTCTGTACGTACGTACGTGTGTAAGTATGTATGTATGTACTGAGTATAACTCAAAAACGAATAGCCTCAGGACGTTGAAATTTTGTATGTGGGGCTGCTATAACATGCAGATGGGAACCTCCCCTTTTGGTTGCAATCGGCCGCACCCAAAATATATAAATATACGTACATATACATATCCACTCTCTTACTCGGCTCAGTGAGCTCAGTTTCATTATTCTTATATGTGTGTAAATTGTATACTTTTTACTTTAAAAATGATTGAATTATGTTGTTCTTATCTTCCAGTTAAGGTTTTTATGCCTTTAGTTAACCTGCATGTTATAGTTGTAAAATTATCAACAATTTAAAAGTTGTTTAAGTGCGGCTAAGCCTACTTTTATGCTACATCAGCCATATTTGTTTATATTCGAAATTTAGCCGAGTAGTAGATTTGTTGCCAATCTAGAGAAACTAAGCTTCGCAACAGAAAAGTAACGTCTTCTTATATTACTGCGAATTAAATTATGCTTAATCCATTCTGGAATTATCATTTACGTTATTAAACTATCCCATATATTGACTCAACATGGCGTCCACAACAAATTCAGTTTAAACGTATTCGGTGTCTTTTTGCCGAGTGAGACCAAAAGTAAACTTTCAGTTTTGTGCACCGAAAAATCTGCCTTCTTGTCCGTTGGCTGAATTGCTTGTTTTTGCCTAGAAACTGTAATTTTAATTGTAAAAAATTTTTTTTAAAATTGTTTTAACTGAATTTGGTGTTTTATGTTTTTCTATAGCTTTCAATTTTTAATAGCTATTTTGAGTTTTTAGAACTTTTTGCCTTGTCGCGAAGTGAAAACTGAATTAATTGAATGAGAAATACATCTCCAATCAAATTCGAGTAATTAAGTTTAAACGAAATCCAGGAAAAAATGCGTATAATTTAATTTTCCGTACAAGGAAGTCATGAGGTGTAAACATCAGATTTTTTATATTTATAAACTAGAACTAAATACTTATCGCGTAAATAAAAGGTGCATTGCCCCATTGAATCTATGAAATTCCCTGAGCTAGATGAAATATTCGATGAGTACTGTACTATTTGAGTAACGGCAAAGAAATGTGGATTGCCTCATTAAAACTATAAAATTCTCTGCGCTAGATGAAATGTTCGACACTCTATTAGAAATATGAAAGAATTACAGTTTTTTTTTTAAATTTTAATAATTTCTAACGTTTTATCCAAACAAAAGGCAGCAGAATGAAAATGGCATCCAAGGAAACACCAAATGCATGAAGAACTTCTAAAGCATGAAAAACTTCTTTATTATTGTTTTAATTCGTGTGTTCAGTGTCCAGAACTTATTAGTTTAGTGCATATGTTATAAATCACCAAAAGAAAAGCTCCAAAGATAAACTGTTATCTTCGTATATTCTAGCAAGAAAATTAAATGGCTTTATGATGCTCTACATGGTAAAAAGCACAGAAACCTAAGTCAAGTTTGAAAACAATTTCATTTTTAGTTCATTTACTTTTTTTTAAATGATTTAAATAGAAAGAAATTTTATTATAATTTATTGTTGGCAATTAATAAAAATCCTATTACGATTACAAAAACAAAATAATTTATGCCATACTTTACTTTTTCTTGAAGCTGAATTTAATTTTAAAATGCTCTTATTTTCAAAACATTTGCAAAAAATGTTCTTAAAGCAGTTTTACTTGAAATTAAAGAATTATTACCTAATCAGCTTCGTAAAGACGTGCGTTGGAGCACGTTTCATCCATGGAGGCTGTCGCTAAAGGAAACAACTACTTAGAAGAGATACGCAGAATTATACACAGAAAGCAAACGTTGGGTTGGGATTTCCTTTGATCATCTGTTCCACTTCTGTTTGCAGCTGCAGCTGGGGAAATGACCATTTTTGCCAGTAGATCGTTTTTATTATACCGTTAGCGCTTTGTACCTTTTCAATGCGCCTTTTCCGCACACATATTTCAATACAAAATCTGCTTTTTTAAGCTCCCCACTGACCCCTTCATACAGAAATTTTTTAATTACCCTATATTTCCTATTAACACAGATTAGGTAAATCTTTACAGTACTTCCATCTGTAAAGTTAGCATTAAAAACTTTTTGGTTAAAAAAATTCCCCGTTAAAAATTCCCCGTGCGTGTAGTTTGTAACACTTTAATTTGGCAGTTAGAAAGTGTTAAGGCATTTTCTGTTGTAGACACGTATATAGTGATATCTGAAACAGCATGTTCCGCGCAGTAGCGAAAATAGCGTTAGACTATATTTCGATCATTTGGTACAACTGCCATATTTCGTCTTCTCTAAACCCTCTGACTTCTCTTGTCTATATATTTTTTGGGGGCTAATGTTTTTATAAAATTCAAATTATTCAAAATTAGACTGTGAGAAGTTTATGACAAATACCAAACGAAACTTCTATCAGTACTTCCAGAACTGTCAAGAGCAAATTTTGTGCGTTCTCCTGAATTTTTCTTAAGATTAGATAATAATTTCTTGTACATCATATAGAAATGCCTTACAAAAGCATTCCGCTAACATTTTGAATATCTTAGTTACGTTCTAATTCTTTTTATTTTGGAGAAAGTTCTTTTGAGCTTAATATAAGGACACTTTTTATAGTTTAATAGTTTCCTTTGTTTCTTTAACTTTCTTTCTACTAGATGAAGAAATGCAAAAAAGACACTTAAAGTAGTCTAGGCATTTATGGCACAAATAGTAAGCGGACTTATTGATTTGGAATGTAAAATATTAAAATATGGAAAAGCATTTTTAAGTTTCTGTATTTTGGTTGAAATTATAGATGTACAAAAGGCGATAATATAAAAAGCGTTTAAGATACTAATAGATACTAATAAGCATGTTTGAAAAAAAAATGAAAGTTCATGGTAGAATTATTACATAATTATATATTTCTACGATTACCAAAAAATATGGAAAAACTGATGCAAATTACAGAGCTGAGCCTAGATATTTCTTCATATGAGGCAGAGAAGAAAATGCGTTTCCCTATATAATCAAATTAACTGTATCTGTATGCGCCTAAATTCATGAAAGGAAACGATACAAAATCATACAGTAACCTTATATTTTTAATTATAACTATATGTATTCAGAAAATTAATGCATGTAATAATTTAGAACTCTTAGATGAAAACTTTAAAAGTACCTTTTCCTAAACAGTAAATAACATTGAAATAATATGCATAATATAACAATTAGTATAAAAAGTATTGTATTAGTAATCAAGCTCTTTTTGTAATTTAATGTTTCTTACTTTTAATAAAATGAAATCCAAGATAAGTTTTTTCTTTTAAATTACATAATTAATGTTCTATATGTTGATATTTGAATTTTTTGGGGGGAAGGATTTCTGAAGCTTCTTTCCTACCATTAGTAATTGGCAAAGATATTCTTAACACAATTTTCGAATTCAGAATCATCGAACTAAACTGCATTCTTGAATTATCTTTTAAATACACTACTTAGCTTTAATTACCAGAATTGCTGAAACAGTGTATTATGGATTTTAAAACAAGATATTTCTGAGGGTATATCTCAAGCATTTACAGCATTTGGATCGTTAAATGTTAAGTATTTTGGAAGTATATTTTATGTATTTTGAATTTAAATCCATTTTCAAAATGCTTAAATGCAATGAAATTAATTTTTCCCCATTCAGAAACTCGAAATCGGAGGTTAACACGTTTAATATTTATGTCTGGGTTCTAGTTGTGAAATTAAAAGTACATCTTAATTTTTTTATTTCTACTATGAAAAAATATTGTGGGAGATGTCATGTTCACAACCGACAGATGGAGCTGCGTGCTCTTCGCCAGAACTGTTTTCTAGAGGTAAATAAACCCGCAGACGCTGTCGCAATTAAAATGAAAGACGTCTGTAAGATGTTCTTTGAGAAAAGAAGACATGAACTTCTCTACAGCTATAAATAATTTTTATCCATTTTCATTTACATATTTAATCAATCTGCTGATCTTCATTAAATGTATTAATGAAACAGTCGCTTTGGTGTATGATTATTTTTACCCTTTAGACACAAAATGTTGAACTAAATTCTATGAAGTAAATTCATAAAAAAGGTAAGATGGAATCTACAATATTTTTCTGACACGATTAGTTTTTTATAAATTGATTCTTGACATTCTGATTTATTAACCTTCCATTTTTGCTCGTTTTCATATTCTGTTGACATATTTATGTTTACAGCTGGTTCACCTTTCTCAAAAACATTTTCTCTTATTTTCCATAAAG